TACAAATGTGCTTTACACAATTGATGTGTGGATTGTGATGAGTTGTATGAGCCCCTAATAAAATGATAAAAAAAATTTACATAGCTTTGGGGAGAAAATAGTTTTGGGGGTACCCCCTCATATATACTCGTTTCTGTTGGACTTATCAGAAATAGAATTGCTTAGTTTTAATAGGTGCTGGTACAGATTTTTCCACATTGGTGGTATCACCAATATGCCCTCTAGCAACGTGTGAGTTCCAGTCATTCTAAGTCATTGCCAATTGTCAGTCTTTTAAAAGTAACTGTGCACTTCTAAACTTCCAAATAAGGAGCCTTGGTGACACTGCCGGTTAAGTGTTAGATTGCTAACCAAGGCCAGCTATTCAAACCCACCAGCTACCCCACAGGAGAAAGATGAGACTGCTCCTATAAAGGTTTACAAAGCTTTGGATATATCATATATATATGAATACATATTCATAAGAATCAGGATTGACTTGATGGCAGTGGGTTGGGTTTCAAATTTCCAAATTGACGTTCATTTCCACAAAAATTGAGATCTGCTGGAAAGTGCTTTCAAGGGTGATTCCTGGGCTGCAGGATCCCTGTCAAGATGAAGCATGGATCTCAGGAATGAGTCTGCAGCCTGTCTAGTTGCACCCTTGTGACAAGAGCAGAGAAGACCAGGATCCAGGCAGCCCAAACCTGGCAAGTCTCAAAGGAATTCCAGACTTTGCCCAATGGGCTCCTGGGTCATTCAGGGCATTGTGAGGCAAGAGAGAACCAGAACAGCAGACTCAAAAAAGAACCCTGACCCACTCGTTGGGGACCGGCCTGAACAAGTAAGATGGGCCTGCCTTTCCCAAATGGCATTAGGGGTTGATGGCAGTGCCCATTTGGGATGCCCGAAGACCCTGCCTCAATCTGATTTGGGGTTCGGCTTAGAAAACAAATGCCAATCTCCTTGTAGGCAGAACTTTCGATGGGCCAGCAGAGCTCCCTGGAGGCAAGAGGCCAGAAGCCTGAAGGGACCAGCAGGTTAACTGGGCACCACAGTCTAAGACGCCAGCCCCAAGCAAGAGCATCCTGCTTCCTCGAAGGGTTTCTTTGCCTGAGGAAAGTGGTAGCTGGCCCTCATACTCCTTCCTGTAGGATCTTCTGGAAATGGAGGCAAGGGTGATCTTGCAGAAGCCCGCTTGTTTGGATAGGGACCCCTTTCAGTCCACATTCAACCTTCCTTACCGGGAGGAAAGCTGGGCCCTGAGGGAGATACGGGCTGCAGCCACTGTCTGCCCCTGCAGTACAGGACTGCATGGGAGACATAGGAAACCTGAAATCCAGCCTGAGGTCTATTTCTTTTTTTTAAATAATTTTATTGGGGGCCTGAGGTCTATTTCACAAAGAACAAGAAACCGTGTGTACCCTGGACGGCAGGTCATAGGACTCCAAAGGCGGTGAGGTCAGCGTACGGGAGAGGACACTGCGGGACATTTGCCACACAGAAAAGCAAGGGTGGAGCAAAGTGGGGGAAGGAGGGGTACACGGAGAAGGCGGGTGGAAAACCGAAGGCTCCCAGGGGTGGACACTGGAGGCTCGAGGGACAGCCTGGGCTGGTGGTGGTGGGGAGGATCGCCGCAGAGGGAAGCTGTGGTCGATCTGGCCCAGCAAGTGTGGAGTCCCTGCCCGACGGCACCCTGCGAGGGAAGCGGCTTCTGGCTTTCCCCGCAGCGCCCGGCCCAGTGCCACCGGACCCTGCAGGAGAGAGGTGCACTAGAAGGGAGGTACCCCGTGGGGGCTCCCGGCTAAAGGCCTGTGCTGGGTGTGGGGGGGTTTCCTTCCCCAGAGCAGGGATGGTGTCCTCGCTGCCGAGTGCCTGGGGCTGGGCAGACTGGGGTCCGAGGTCAGCGTCCAGCCGGCCCACTTCCTCGGCCGGTGGACGACCGTTGGAAAGGGGCAAGGGGGCGAGGGGGCGGCGGGGCAACAGCCACCACTTCCCTCCGGGCGCTAAGCCCCGCCCCCCGTCCTTGCCGAGTCACCGTGGAGACGCGCTGCGAAGTGCGGCTGCGCGAGGGTGACGGCGCGCGGGGCGGGGGAGGGGGTGTTTTGGTTCTAGCTGCTCGCCGTCCTTTTCAGACTCGGTCGACCGCAAGCTTCTTGTTCCGGCCTTGCCTTCCCCGGCCGCTCTTCTCCCCCATTCCCGGTTTTTCCTCTCTCCTGCCCTCCTGTCCGCCTCCCCGTTTTTTGGCTTACCACCCCGGGGCCGGGCCACTCTCAGGGCCGGGCGCCCTCCGGTGCGCGGCCCCGGGGCCCAGTGTATGACCCGCCGTCCAGCCGCCGCTCGCTCCCCCCGCCCCATGTGGCTGCGGGGCCGCGGCGGCGCTGCCCACTATGGCCCGGAAAGCAGTTAGCAGGAAGCGGAAAGCGCCCGCCTCGCCGGGAGCTGGGAGCGACGCTCAGGGCCCGCAGGTGAGGGTTGGGAGGGAGGCTGGAACTTGGATGTGTAGGCCAAGGCATCCGGATAGAGGAGGGTCCGCAGATGGGACGGGAACGGGGCCCGAGATCTGCAGTCCGAGGCACAGGACACGGGGGACCAGGCCTGTCGGGCCAGGAGTGGGGGCCCGCCGGAGTTCACTAGGAGGCTTACAGGCCGGAAGAGTAAGGAGCCTAAGGAAGGGGAACTCGGAAATGGGGCCTCCTCCTCGGGGCCGTAGCCGGGTATGAGGCCTTGGAGGGAGGGGAAGCCGAATTGGAAAGGGATCAGGAACAAAACCTCCAAGGAGATAGAGAGTAGGCGAGTGAAACCCGCCATCCTGGGGGCCCGGGAGGGGGCCAGTATTCGTAGGTCGACAAGGAAAGTGCCTTCCTGTGGATACCTTTGAGTTTGGGCCTTTGGGCACTTGGAT